GGTTTCAATAAAGGAGACCTGGTTTTTCCCCTCAGCCCATTCAGGAAAGCCAACAGCCCACACATTGTTGCACCTTTAGTCCATTTTTGAGGTCCTCTAATCTGGCTTCATTAGTGGAGGAGACAGACTGAACATAGTGGACATCACGCTGTAATGGCTGCCACTCATCCTCTAAAGTACTGGGTCTATCTTCCAGGGCTGTAGTGCGTTTCACGTAGCTTGCATGTCATGTCTCACTAAGGCGAATGATCTCTAACTATTATAACACCCTCTTAGGGACTGTGTACCCTATAATTTCCAAGATTCAGGAGAAATGGCACAAAGATATTCCAGAGAAGGATTGGCAGGAATTCTCAATCGTATTTTGATACTGTCCTCTTTGGAGATGAACTTGAATCAATAGCAGGGGAATACTATGGAACTACATGTACCAGCATGCCTGCAGGCTTTTGTAAATGTGACCATTCAGCAGTAACACTGACAACTAGAGCAGACCAGAGGCTGGCTTCAGTGAAGAGGAGAATTCACAGACAATGGCTGAAGAGCCTGAGCGATGACATCACCCATATGCTTACTACAGGACATCCGTTGTTGGCTGTCCCTCCTCTCCCCTGAAGCTTCCACTGGAAACCAATCATTGTGATTGGACCAGAGCACTGTCAGGATAGGTAAGTATATACATCTTTCATTTACAGTGTAGTTAGAATAGGCTTAGAATGTGAATGGGAGCAGGTTTAATTATAGTTATTATTTTACTGGACTTCCACTTTAATGTAAGAAAACCTACTTGCTTGTTCTTGCTTTGATATTTAGAATGATTGTTATTTTTATTAGGGTGTTTTGTAGTTTTGAAGTCAGTCAACATCTGTTAACACATTGTGACAGGGAAACTTCCTATTATAGAAAGCCCAACATAGATTGTTCATTGTACAGTATATACACTGCCTTTGAAAAAATATTCATCCCCTTGAAATTTTCCACATTTTGTCATGTTTTATAACCAAAAATGTAAATATATTTTATTGGGATTTTATGTGATAGACCAACACAAAGTGGCACATAATTGTCAAGTGTAAGGAAAATGATAAATGGTTTTGAAATTTCTTACAAATATCTGAAAAGTGTGGTGTACATTTGTATTCAGCCCCCCGAGTCAATACTTTGTAAAACCACCTTTCACTGCAATTACAGCTGCAAGTCTTTTTGGGTATGTCTCTACCAGCTTTTCACATGTAGAGTGAAATTTTTGCCCATTTTTCTTTGCGAAAGAGCTCATGCTCTGTCAGATTGGATGTAGAGCATATGTGAACACCAATTTTCAAGTCTTTCCACAGATTCTCAATTGGATATATGTCTGGACTTTGACTGGGCCATTCTGTCACATGAATATGCTTTGTTCTAAACCATCAGTCTCCAAACTGCGGCCCTTTGCTTTCTTTATTTCTAGCCCTCGGGACACTATTTCATCCAATGATACCAACAATGAGGCATAATTCCCCTCACTGACACCAACTAAGGGGCACAATTCCTCCCACTGACACCAACTATGGGGCACATTTCCTCTCAATAACACCAACAATAGGGCACAGTTTCTCCCACTGACGCAAACAATTGGTCACAATTCTTCCCACTGGCACAAAAAATGGGGCACTATCCCTCCCACTGACACCAAGATGGGACATTGTCTATTCTCACTGAAGTCGGGATGTTTTTTTACTCCAAAAGGCCACATTTCTGCCCCCTGAAGTCTGAAGGACAGTAAACTGGCCCTTTTGTTTAGAAAGTTTGGAGATGCCTATTCTAAACCATTCCATTGTAGTTCTGGCTGTATGTTTTTTAGGTCATTGTCCTGCTGAAAGGTGAACCTCCACCCCAGTCTCAAGTCTTCTGCAGTCTCTAACAGGTTTTCTTCTAATATTTGTATTTTGAGCCCTGTATTTGGCTCCATCCATCTTACCATCAACTCTGACCAGCTTCCCTGTCCCTGTTAAAGAAAAACATCCCCACAACATGATGCTGCCACCACTATGTTTCACGGTGGGGATGATATGTTCAGGGTGATGTGCAGTGTTGGTTTTCCACCACACATAGCGTGTTGATTTTAGGCCAAAAGGTTCAATTTACGTCTCATCTGACCAGAGCACCTTCTTCCACATGTTTGCTGTATCCTCCACATGGCTTCTTGCAAACAGACTTCTGATGGCTTTCTTTTAACAATAGCTTTCTTCTTGCCACGCTCCAAAAAGGCCAGATTTGTGGAGTGCATGACTAATACCGTATTTTCCGGCGTATAAGACGACTTTTCAACCCCTGAAAAGTCGGGGGTCGTCTTATACGCCGGTGTCAGGGCGTCACTTTTTCGAGGGGCGGCGCCGCCCCCCCTTTTCCTCCAACAGACACTAAGTACAGGGGTGGGCAGAGGGGCTGCTGTACCTTACCTGGCTCCGGTCCCACGATGATCCGGTCCAGGAAGCGCGGCTGCTCCTTCTTTCAGTTCGGCCACTCGATGGGCGTGCGGCCGCTCGGCTCCGCCTCCTCACCGGTGATTGGGCGCCAGCACTGGAAAGGCACACAGGCGACCAATCACCGGCGAGGAGGCGGAGCCGAGCGGCCCCGTGAAAATCGAGCGGCCGAACTGGAAGAAGGAGCAGCCGCTCCTCTCCCCCACTGACACTAACGATGGGGCACTATTCCTCCTCCACACTGACACCAACGATGAGGCACTGTTCCTCCTCCACTGACACCAACGATGAGACACTGTTCTCCCCACTGATACCAATGATGGGGCACTATTCCTTCTCCCCACTGACACCAATGATGGGGCACTATTCTCCCCACTGATACCAATGATGGGGCACTATTCCTCCCCCACTGATACCAATGATGGGGCACTATTCTCCCCACTGATACCAATGATGGGGCACTATTCCTCCCACTGACACCAATGATGGGGCACTACTTCTCCTCCCCACTGACACCAACGATGGGGCACTATTCTCCCCACTGACACCAACGATGGGGCACTATTCTCCCCACTGACACCAACGATGGGGCACTATTCCTCCCACTGATACCAATGATGGGGCACTATTCCTCCCACTGACACCAATGATGGGGTGCTATTCCTCCCACTGACACCAATGATGGGGTGCTATTCCTCCCACTGATACCAATGATGGGGCGCAATTCCTGCCACTGATACCAATGATGGGGCGCTATTCCTCCCACTGACACCAATGATGGGGCGCTATTCCTCCCACTGACACCAATGATGGGGCGCTATTCCTCCCACTGACACCAATGATGGGGCGCTATTCCTCCCACTGACACCAATGATGGGGCGCTATTCCTCCCACTGACACCAATGATGGGGCGCTATTCCTCCCACTGACACCAATGATGGGGTGCTATTCCTCCCACTGATACCAATGATGGGCCGCTATTCCTCCCACTGACACCAATGATGGGACACTATTCCTCCCACTGACACTAATGATTGGACACTATTCCTCCCACTGACACCAATGATGGGGCACTATTCCCCCCACTGACACCAATGATGGGGCACTATTTCATCCACTGACACCAATGATGGGGCACTATTCCTCCCACTGACTAATGATGGGGCACTATTCCTCACACACTGACACTAATGATGGGGCACCATCATTGGTGTCAGTGGGAGGAATAGTGCCCCATCATTGGTATCAGTGGGAGGAATAGTGCCCCATCATTGGTGTCAGTGGATGAAATAGTGCCCCATCATTGGTGTCAGTGGGAGGAGTAGTGCCTCATCATTGGTGTCAGTGGGAGGAGTAGTGCCTCATCATTGGTGTCAGTGGGAGAAATAGCACCCCATCATTGGAATACCATACTGAAATAGCATACCATATTGAAATCAAATCTGATGTTTTTTCATTTTTATTTGGTGTGCGTTGGAAGAGGGGTAGTCTTATACGGCGAGTATAGCTCAAACCCTATATTTTAACAGGAAAAGTAGGGGGTCGTCTTATACGCCCAGTCGTCTTATACGCCGGAAAATACGGTAGTTGTCCTGTGGACAGATTCTTCCACCTGAGCTGTGGGGATCTCTCTCCATGTGCCTCTTGGCTACTTCTGATTTAATGCTGTTCCTGCCCGGCCTGTCAGTTTAGGTGGACAGCCATGTCTTGGTAGATTTGCAGTTGTGCCATACGCTTTCCTTTTTTGGATGATGGATTGAACAGTGCTCCGTGAGATGTTCAAAGCTTGGGATATTTTTTTATAACCTAACCTTGCTTTAAACGTCTGCACAATTCTATCCCTGACCTGTCTGCTGTGTTCTTTGGCCTTCATGGTGCTGTTTTTCACTAATGTTCTCTTGCAAACCTCTGAGGACTTCACAGAACAGTTGTATTTATACTGAGATTAAATTACACACAGGTGAACTCTATTTACTACTTATGTGACTTCTGAAAGCAATTGGTTCCACTAGATTTTAATTAGGGGTATCAGAGTAAAGGGAGCTGAATACAAATGCACGCCACACATTTCAAATATTTATTTGTAAAACATTTTGAAAACCATTTATCATTTTCCTTCCACTTGACAATTATGTGCCACTTTGTGTTGGTCTGTCACATAAAATCCCAATAAAATACATTTATGTTTTTAGCTGTAACATGACAAAATGTGGAACATTTCAAGGGGTATGAATACTTTACAAGGCACTGTACTACACTCGATATACTGTATACTATACACTGCAACACAATAGGATAGGATAGTTATAGTCTTCTGTCATGCTTGTTTTGTCCTGTAAACGCAAACCAGAATTCTGCTTTTTACAAGTATTCAGTGGTACTTGAAAATATTTACCAAAAAATTTACTCTGGATATTGGTGGTAAAACCTATGATCTGGATACTACTGCTGAAAAAAGAGGTTATTCTGTTAATCAATATGTTTTGTATAATTGTTTTGCTTTTTTTTAATTTTGTATACTGCTTTTTTTTTTTTTAGGCCACACTTATTCTCAAGAAGGTTTTACTCGTGTCTCTCGTTGGAAAAGGTGGGCTCAGCAATTGAAGGAACTGCCTTGGCTTTTGTTTACCTATCCAGGTCAGACCTATACTTATACCTACACAGTGAACTTAATTAAAAATCTATTATTCTAATTCTCAAACAGCTCAATTTATTTTACTTTACAAAAATGAAAGATGCTCCTCGTTTTTTTTTTCCCTCTGCAAACCTCCCCTCTTTTTCTTCCAGACTCTCCACTTCCTAAGCTTTTTGTGTATTTTTTTTTTTCTCTTTGGATTTCTAAAAGGTGTGTGTTTTGTACTCGAATAATGTTTGGGTGACTATTTGGTTTAAAGAAATAGTGCACTTCCCTCCCTACCATGCTAACGTAGCCTCTCCCTCTCCCTGGATGCATATTTACCTTCAATTGTGTGTGTTTTTTAACATACCAATCTTTCATATGCGAGCCACACCTGCATTGTAGCTTTCTGTAGGGTTCTTGGGTCAATCCCCTCCTCATGTGGCTGCAATCTTTCTCGGTCTACCTGTACTTGGCTTGGTATCAAGAGATCCCTGAACATTCCACTTCTTAATAGGTCATTTAACAGTACTGATTGTCATATTCAAGGCTTTGGACATCTTTTTATGTCCTTTTTCCATCTTTATAAAGTTCCATTACCTTGTTACGCAGGACTTTTGACAGTTCTTTTCTGATCCCCATGGCTCAGTATCTAGCCTACTCAGTACTTCCACGTAAGAGCTAACAAACTCATTGACTATTTATACACTGACACTAATTGCAATTTAAAAGGCCACAGATGTGCGATATTAACCTCCTAATTGGCATTTTAACCTGTGTGTGTCACCATGTATGTCTGTACCAAGGCCAAACATTCCAGGGTATGTAAACTTTTGATCATGGCCATTTGGGTGATTTCTGTTATTATTTAAAAAGGAGCCAAACAACTATTTGATTATAAATGGATTCATATGATCATCATCCTTCAATAAAAGAGCATTTTTTTGGGATGATCAGTCATGTTTTCAATATCAATGCCAAAATTTCACAATTTCTTCCAGGGTATGCAAACTTTTGAGCACAACTGTATTTATCATGAACCCACAGTCTACCCTAACGAAGGCTTTTTCTGCATCAATCGACAAAATTGTGAGCTGCCTACCTCTTTTTGCAGAAGTAGCAGTGTTCTCAAACCGTTATCTCTTCCTTCCCTTCCTGGGATAAATCCTACCTGGTCTAAATGTATCCATTCCGGCATCAGTTCTTTCAACCTGGTAGCTAACACTTTCATGAACAATTTGGTATCAGTATTTAGTAATGATATGGGTCTATAACTAGCAGATTGTGAGCGATCTTTCTCTTTAAGAATAATTGGTATATATGCATGCAAAGATTCCCCTCTCATATCTGTTCCTTCTCCCAATTTGTTCACATATCTACAGAGTTTAGGGACCAATAACTCTTAACATTTGTTATAGTACCCCGCCGTATAACCATCAGGGTCAGGGCTCTTTCCTCCCGCCGTATTCTTCAGAGCCGTCCTAATTTCATCCTGGGAAATAACTTGTTCTAGGCATACTAATTTATTTTTTTTGCAATTTTGGTAAATCTGCTGCCATTACAAATTCTTGCCTTCTCCTCCTCTTCTCTTCCTCTGTTGCTTTTTGTTTTATAGGATTCACCTCATACAGCCTACTATAAAACTATTGAAACATATCGGCGATACCAGTGGTGGAATAGATCAGCTCCCCATTTTCATCTTTAATTTTTTTCTATATCATTTTTTGATTTATTTTCCTTCAATCTCTTCATCATAAATTTTCCTGGTCTGTTCCCCCATTGGTATCTTTCCTTTGAAATTCTATTAAAGACTTTTTTGTTCCTGCAGCAATCAAGATTCCCCTCATATAGGCCTTGTGTGCCTCCCACATAGTCACCACTGATAATTCCTCCGTTTTCATTCAGAGCACAAAATTGTTCTAGCTCTTCCCTTAACCTTTCTTCTATATCCAGGTCATGTATAAGTGTCTCATTTAGTCTCCACATAGCCCTCTTATTTTCCTCTCCTCCCATTTGTAGTCTCACGGTGACAGGGGCATGGTCCAAAAGGGGCATGGTTCAATATGGCCATAACCTCGATAGGAGGAGTAGAACATAAGGTAGCAGCATATGCAGATGATATGCTGTTTTACATAGTGAACCCTAGGCTGACGCTGCCCAACTTAATGGGGCTACTAAAACAGTATGGAGAGTTATCTAATTTGAAAATAAACCCTACAAAATCTGAGATTCTAAATATTAACGTGTCTTAGAGGATGAACTTACAAGAAGACTTTCCATTTACATGGAGGGAAAGAGAATTAGGCTATTTTGGAATAAAATTAACCCCCGCAATAAAGGATTTATACCAAGTTAACTATATGCCATTAATGAAATTAAAGATGAGTTGAAAAGACTCTCAGGGGGGTAGATCTCATGGATTGGGCGTATAAATCTGGTTAAGATGGTAATGGTCCCAAAAATTCTGTATAAGTTTCAAATGCTCCCAATAAATTTACTCAGATCTTTTTTTAGGATAATAAGAAAATTGATATCGAGGTTTATATGGGCTAATAAGAAAAAAAGAATTAAGTATGAAACTCTGTTATAATAAAGAGAAAGGAGGATTAAATCTGCCAAATATGGGGAAGTATTACATGTCGGTGTTATTATCACGGGTAGTGGATTGGGCACATAATTCACAAGAGAAAAGTTGGGTTAAAATGGTAGGTATATGAAGTAATACACAATTGGAGAGGATCATCTGGATCCCACAAAAGTTTTGGGTAATGGATGAAAATAGTAGCATATTGACATGGGAAGTGTTGAGAATTAGGGATGGTTTGCACAAGTCGATGGGGTGGAAATATAATTAAGTGTTCTTGCATGGCAAGACCACTTACTGTTATCTCACATGTATATTCTTATTATTATAGCCAAATTTACCACCCTAACTCCTCCCACAGTTTTTACACTACAAAGACCGTAATATACCAAAACGTGCGGATTGTTCCCGATTGGTGTGCTATTACTTTGTGGAATGGTTCAAGAAATATCAGCGTTTTTGTGGTGAAATTGGTCCCATAGGGATGAATGGCGGAATGTTCAAAACTAGAGTGGGAGCTGACAAAACATTTTCACAGTTACTCCAGTCACTCCAACACAACAGTTACTGAAGCCACTCCACCCAGTTACTCCGCCCACTCCAGTTGTAGACTACTGGTGGAGGCAAGAACACTTCACACAATTTCTCCAGAAATTGTAGCTTTTCTAGTTCATTATTGTTGCCAACTGGAAAATGGTTTAAAGATAGAAATGCACGTTTGGGAGATATAATGGATAAAGGGAAGTTGCGCACTTTTCAAGAATTAAAAAGTAAAAAGGACTTGTTTGTTGTATTAGATGAATTGAGATATTGTCAATTAGGACATTTTGTCTCAATGCTCCCATAACCCCTGAGGATGGCGGAGGACATGCTTCCATTTGAAAAAATATTGAGTTCCAAGATAGTATGTGAACATATAATTTCTAGGATTTATAAGATCTTAACTGAAGTGATGGGAGCTGGACCTCCATCATTCTTGGAGAAATGGGAAAGGGAATTGGGTACAAAAATAATCAACAGAAGATTAAAATGTTTAAGTTAATGCGTGGGTGATTAATATGAATATAATTGAAATTAATTATAAATGTTTATCTAGCTAGTATTGTACACCGAATGTGACACACAAACAGCGAGGAGAAATATCACCGTTGTGTTGGAGGGGATGTGGGGCAATAGAGACAATGGCTCACATATGGTGGGATTGTCCAAAAATACAGTTATTTTGGCAAGATATAATTCAATATATACAGGAGATTTGGGGGACATCTATTCAGAAGGACTTGTGGGTGTGACTTTTTTTTTATAAAACCGAGATGTCAGTAAAACAATATAAAAATAGTGTACTATACCATCTGATTTAGTGCGGCAAAACATTTAATTCCTAAATTTTGGCAGGTCCAGGACCTTCCAACAATAAGGTACTGGACAGATAGAATTGATTATATTAATGGACTGGAGGAGCTACTTTACATGGAGGAAGACAAAATGGAAAATTTAGAAAAGAGTGGAGTAGGTGGTATGATTTTAAAACATCTGAAAAGTATTTAAAAATGAGGGGTGCCCTGGTAGTAGAGTCGGAGAATTAAACTGGTTAAATAGATTAGAGAAAATAGGTTTACCGATACAGGTCGGTAAACCGGAAGGGAAAGAGATGGTAAGATTTAAATGAACAGGGGTTTTTGTACAGGGAGGGGAGGGCTTTGGGGAGGGTGGGAATGGGGTTAAAGTGGATGTGCAGGTGTATTTCGGTTTACAAATGCCTCTGTTAATGTAATGAATGAAAATCCATTGAAAATAATGCCTCGGTTTTCAAATTTGTTTACCAATTTTTTTCGCAATACGAAGTGTATGTCAGTGCCGATTTTTTAAATGCAATTGCCAGCATTTTTTTTTTCTGCACAAAAGTTCACAGATTTAGCTGTCACTTTCCCCAGAGCTAAAGGATATTTATCTTGGGGAACAAATTAAAAGGAAACATTGTTTCTTTTAAATGGGGGAAATAAACTAAAAGGAAACTTTCTTTCTTTTAGCTGGGGGAAAGTGACAGCTGATTTTTTGAGCTATAGTGAAGGAAAAAAAAAGCCAGTAATTACATTTAAAAACCGGCACTGACCTATAGTGACAGCGACTTTTTTTTGTTTTTTTACTTTTTTCTGACGTCTGGAACGGATGAATTGGTTTTCAATGCATTCCTATGGGAAACCGCGTTTCGGTTTACGAATTTTTCGCAATACGAAGCGTCCCGGAGAACGCATTAAATTCGTAAACCAAGGTACACCTGTATATGATGTGACAAAAGATTTATGGTTGTTATGTATTGTATTTAAAAAATTGAATAAAAGATATAATAAAAAGAATGGTTTTCACAACTATAAATCTGGACATAAACCTCTGGTGCTCAACTGCTAAATTGTGTGGTCCAAGAAACTCATTGATGGCTACAGGAGGCAATTGAATGCAGTTATTTTTTTTCAAGCGGTGTGCTACCAAATAATTAAATTGAGGGTACCAATAATTTTGTCCAGTCCATTTTTGGGGTTTTGCATGGAATGTGTCAGCTTTGGCTTTTTATTTATCTTTCTTGTGCCATACTAATACAAACAAAAGAAATAAAACATGAGAACGCCTAAACATTTGTAATTGCAACAGTTTTCTGGGTGAAGTGGGTGTGCCAATATTTTTGGTCACAAGTGTATAAATTGTTCTCTCTTCTGCCCAGTGATACTTATAAAGACAATGTCTGTGAAACGTTCCTGCCACTACCCTGTGGGATCCTTTCAGCTGCCCACCTGGACTTTAAGAAACTTCCCTATGTGAGAGGTGCTGTTCCAAGGGAAATGCAAGTAGCCAGCAGTACTGACCGATAGTCCTCCCCTTGTGAACCTGGTAGAGCCCTTTTTCCCATCAGCACATGCCCGCAGTTTTGCTTGCATGTGTAGAAATAACACATCTAGGTGACCAAAATACCTCCTTAATATAAGAATTATGTAGGCTTCCATTGCTGACCTCTTGCTTTGAAAATGCTATCTCCCTGGCTGTCATTTTGATGCTTTTTCATCAATGCTTTCATCACTGACCTAAAACAAATATAAGGAATTCTGACTTTTTTTACTGTTATTTGCAACATATTATTTACAGCATATTTATTTAGTCTTTGACTCAAAGTTGCTAACACTTGGCACAGCTAGACAGCTAGCATCTTCAGAAAGCGACCAGCAATGGCAGTTCTGTACTTTTCTAACAAAATGATATGAAGTAAAGTATATAGAAGCTAACAGCTGATTGTAGAGCCATAGCACCAGGGCATTTTTACTTTTAGTGGAAACTCTGGGGAACGCAGTTCCAGCATCTGCAGCACTGAATGTAAGTATTAGCAAGGGGTGCTGGGGTGTGTTGGTCTATTGTTACTGGCTGGGAACTATTGTTGTTGGGGGAAGGGGGGTTATTTTGTTGTAAGGGGTATATTGTTATAAGGGTAACCTATTGTTGCTGAGATACCAGCTTCTGTATTCTCTATAAAAAAAAAAAAAAAAGCAGAACTGGAAGGTGGGTAGGGTTTGACTCAAGGGACGACGCTTAGAGGTGGGTAGGAGGCAGAGACAAGAGGTGACTCAGAAGAGGGGAGTAGCTGCATCTATTCTCTGGGGGGACAAAAAAGCCCTATATGGATATCTTGTATAAAATCATCTGAAAAATCTGTGATTGTCAGTTGCATGATTGTAATCATATTGGAGAACAAAAGCCCACAAAGTATTGCTAATGGCATCCTAGACAATTCATCTTTCCAGTACATTTGTATATAACAAAATGCATGCCATTTCTTTTTAGTTATTCTTTCTCCTTCCATTCATTAGGTCGTGTATTCAGACTCTTATATTGGTGGATTGGTACAACCTGGTACCGTATGACAACCTCTGCTTCTCTTCTTGATGTCTTTATTTTAACCCGGTCAGTAAAGCAAACAAAAATGTATACAAATATTAAACATAAAAGTGTTAAACAGGTTGTTCTGGTCAGCTGGAATCAAACTGCCTGCTTGGCCACTGATCAGTTGTGTGCAGCACCCCAAGTAGCAGGTTACCACTGCTAGAAGCTGTTTGGCCCTGAAAATGATCGAAAGCGGCATGATCCCATCATGCAAGATGGCTAAGAGTTTACTATTCTTACCTTGCAGCTCTAAGTAATGGGTGTGAATCCCACATGGGACACAAGCTACAGCAAGCTGGTATGTTCTTCCTTTGTGTATGGTTTCACAAAATTTAAAGCTTCCTCCTACAGTCCAAAAACGTACTGGTAGGTGAACTACAACACTATGGGCTCATTGTCCTTAGTGTGGTATGGAAATGAAAAGGTGAGCATAGGCTTAGCACTATAGTCACATGTACAGGGGTTTAAGCTTTTATTCCCCAGTGTAAAACATGTAAGAACTGCTTAGCAGGTTTGAAAAATCTCTGCCCAAAAAAGAGACTATCCTATTTTACCCTATGCATCCTCAATCAGTATGATATATTGGAGACACTGGAAACAAGTACGCCACCGATATTCTTATGGTAGAACCATTTTTTTGAAACCGGAAAATCCATCAAAAAAATGTTACTTCATACAAATATTTTAAGTTGCTATATATTCCAAAGCAATCCATGCGTTTTTCTTTTTTTTCTGTGGCCCACTTTGAATAGTCATTGTCTTCAAGTGTTTGTGATTTCTTATTTCTCTGTAAATGCAGTAGATCCTTTTTACTCAACTCAGCTTTGGTGGCTGTATATCTCCAGCATGATAAAACTTTGTATTTTACTGGGTTACCCCACCAAATATGGGAATAGTTCTTACTCAGCCA